AACCCTGACAATTGGAGCTATTATGTAGTGCATCGCAATTAGTGTACCACATTTGTCCGTCAGGACAATTAGTACAGCAGCAGAGCCCAGGTTTTGTGCTAACAAGCTTCTGTACAGACATGTGAACAGCCTCCGGAATGTGAAACGCGGTGTTCCCCCACTTACTTCAGCAAATGGATGTGCTCAAACTGACGAGGATGCAGCCAAAGTTCTACAGCTGCAATATGCTTCAATATTCCGATGCGCCACTAGCATAAGCCACACACACACACACACATAACTGTACCATTCTCCCAGACGTCAATATTCACACGTCATTCTTAGTTTAGCGACCGTTTTGAGGAAGCTGATTTCGTTGCGCCTCCATAGTTCCCCCGGTATTGACAACATTCCCCCCAAAGCACTTCAAGTGACAGCTACGAGGATAGCTGAGCCGTTAGCTCGATTTTTCAAGATGTGTGGATGAACAACAGGTCCCCAACGTGTGGAAGAAGGGCACTATCACCCCAATTTTCAAGGGTAGTAGCCGCTCAGAGCCCGTCAACTAGCACATAGTGATTCTGCTCCCCGATGCTCTCAAAGGTCATAGAGACAATCATAGCTGAGGCGCTAATGGGCTACTTTGAAAGGTCTAAGGTCAAAACACAGGAACAGCACAGATTCCATCGGCACCCGTCATGTGCTATCACCGATCTGCTGATTGCGTCTGGCAGTTGGACTGAGATAGCCGACAGTGAGACCGGCACCGATGTCATCTACCTCGACTTTCCTAAAGCCTTCGACTGCTTAGATCATCGAATCCTACTTCAAAAGCTGCAAGCGTATAGGGTTGAGAACGCAGTTCTAGGATGGATCGGAAATTTCCTGCTTCAGCGGCGGCTTTAGGTTCAAGTTAGGGATTCAGTTGCTGATCTTATCGATCTGGACTACAGTATCCCACAGGGATCGGTGTTAGGGCCGCGCATATTTCTGGTCTTCATTAACGACCATAAAGATATGGCGGGCAATCGGTTGTCAGGACGAGCAAGATGTGCTGCAGGAAGACTTAGATCATCTCTTTGAATGATCAAAGGCAAGTTTACTTCCGTTTAACGCAGACAAGTGCAAGACTGCATATGTACGCCGCAAGCCCCGTAACGTATATAATCTTGGAGACGACATGCTGAAAACCGCCTCACGAGAGCGCGATATTGGGGTGGTGATACAACACGACCCCGGTTGTTCGGAGCAGTCGTTGAAGGCGTCCAAAACGGCTAACCAACACGTTAGTCTCTTATGGAGAGCGCTTCGACCCCTCCATCTTCCCCAAAATGTTCAATGCGTATGTGAGGCCCCATGTGGAGAATGGGAATCAGGCCTGACAATCCTGGTTAAAACGCAATCTGGTTGCATTGGATACCGGACAGCGGAGGGCAACCAAAAATGTGAAAGGGTTGCTCCACCTGCCATAGCATCTGCGGCTGAAAAGTTTAGGAGTGCATAGCGGAAGTTATCGCCGTCCACGAGGTGACCTCATTCTGGCGTTCCAGATCTTGAATAATCCTGATCATGCTTGCCGTCACCTCCGGAAGCTAAGCCGAAACACAAAATCGAGGGGTCACCAGCTGAAAATGGCTACGCAACGCACTCGGCTGGTATGCCGCCGGATCTAATTTTCTCTTCGAATTCGTCACCCCTGGAACGCTCTTTCGACTTCTGTCATTACTGTGCTCACGATAGGCGTTTGTAAAAAAGGATTCGATGGTGCATTAAAACACCTGCATTACCTAATCTGATTTCTGTTCACTTAGTGACAACAGGACGCAGACAGTGTGCTCTCTAACCCTCACGAAATTAGTGTAAACGGATACACAAGCATGTCATCGAACATATGTTGACTTGCAGTGGATTAATACTCATAACTACCGCGGTGAGTCCGCCAGTCGGAACATAAATTGGTTGATAATTTTGCGTATACTAAGAATTTCCATTATGACTATCCTGCGGGACATGTTAAGCTTCAGCGTTTTTAACCGTATAAAACCATTGTTACAACTATCTAATTCGTCCACACGGACAAAATTTAATGTTACACATTCTCGTACCTTGTCGTATGGAAACTCTACCCTGACTTTGCTACTACTCGATCCAACAGGAGTGAAACGTCGCTTTCGTGCCCGCATGCTTGAATGAAGATGACAACTTTCATTTACTGCTATTTTTTTCAGTGATGCCTTGTTGTATAATAATCTGCAGTGTTGGTGTGAAAATGCTGAGAATGCACCCATACCTGTGGATAAAGCTTACTTTGACTTGATTTGGTATTAAAGAGATAACATTAAGATGGGAAAAGTCTGGTGTGTCATACTGTAGCCGCTTGTAACTGCAAACCGTGATTCGGATACAAAGTTGTGCGGAAACCACAGTGGAGATAAGAAAAAAGCGATAAAATGGGAAACAATCAGATAGAAAGTGGATGAAGACAAAAGATGTTTGAAGTTGAATTTTGGAGTATCCGCAGTGTGGTTCGATTGTGACACGTAAGCTGTATTGGAACCTCGGTTTACCTTGAACTAGGGTCAATGATTTAAATCGCTGCTTAAGTGTCCGGAATGCAAGGCTGTCGGTGTTGCTCTATCCAACAGTGACACCCCATGGCCGACGGTTTGGTTCTCCTTTGTGTTCATCAGATATAGCTTGATCTAGGAGTGGAGCATTGGGCGTAGTGGCTAACAGTGAATGTCTTGATCACTAGGCCACTGGGACCGGTGGTCAACACACGGCACGTAGGTTGGGAATTCAAAAACAAGTTTGCAGTGCCTGCCGTGTGGTCAGATTGCGACATGCAACCTCTACGGAGATTTCAGTCATTCCGATCATCAGAACCGTATTGGTGCTAGGCCCTCTCAAAACTACACACCACGACCGACGGTTTCGTCCTCGTTCGTGGAACACAGGACCTTAATCATTAGGCAACGGAGATGCGGTAGCGAACACAGGAGCGACATAGAATCGTTGGCTGTACCATATCGAAAAAGAGATGGGTCAAGTATTGGACGCACCGCATCCTGAATAATGGCTAAAGGCAATTAAGCAGCTAAGACTACAGTGCCCCAACCGACCAAGTAGCTCCATTCGAATGAACTATAAAAAAGCGTGCAGTAAAACAAGACTCGTGAGTTGCAACATGTACAGTGGAATGCAGGGCAGAGGAAGTGAAGGAAATGCGCTCTCCTCACACATTACATGGCGCTTCCAAGTGGTGCATTTACATGGACGAGAAGAGGTAAGCGGAATGAACACAGCACAGCCGCACAGGGGAGAGAGTTAACAACACAGCGTTTACTGCTTGACCAATTCCTCCCGATTGAGTTCGAATAACCTCATGGTCAAGCGTTGATTCATCTTGGCAAACTTCTCTGTACACTTTTCAATGCAACCAAGCTGTGGATTGGAGAGAGGGAGAGAAAGCGACGTGTGAGTGACCAAGCGGAGTAGGTACCTCAGATTCATTGAGCTTTCGGGCGGTAAAATTGCTGACGCATCTGTCGAAGCATACCGTGCTGCAACGGACGTAGAGCTCTGAAGTTTCTTTGATTTGCATCTGTGTAACCGGAGAAAGATAGACATACTACTGAGAAGGCGAAGGATCAAGTGGAACAATGACAGCATAGGTACTAGGAAACATTTGGATAACTAAATTGCAGTGATGGTTCGAAATAACTTGAAAGCCTGGTAGCGCGAGTTGGCTGTTCACCTGTTGGTCGGTTCGCCAAACTTGATAAAATGGTTGCATACGTTTCGCCACCATGCAAGGTAGCACCGTCACTGTGGAGATGGGCAATGGGCTATGTCCATAATGTTTTGAGCATGCCTGTCGAACCTCAGGCAATATCCGCGATTTAGGTTTGTCTGTTCACCCGCGATCGGGGTTCGCTCAACCGTAGTAGCCTGTGTACAGGCAATTTCAAGGCTGAACCTGTCCCTTGATCTGGGTCGTTTATGTAAAGCAACTGTATGACTTCGTGAGTCCGGACATTGTCTAACCCCTACATAAAGCAAAATGGATAGCGCATTATAAATTCCCATCGGAAGGAAACTTTCCGTAGTCCCATACAAAACAGTGAGCACAATCGTTTTTCTTTATCGTTAGGTGAGAGATCCGGGAACGCTTGAAGCGACAATCTGCGTACAGCCCTAGGAAAGACATCCACAGATTCGTCTGGCAGATGTCGGTGAGTGACGAAGTGTTCCACAAAAGCGACCTTGGGTCCGGTTTTCGCTAACAGATTGCGCAAAGCGGCTCAAATTTCCGAGGGGGTGGGAAACGGGATACCCGTGTTGTTCGAAATTACCGATTCGCTTTCTCCCAGAGAAAACACAAGATAATAGTGTATGAGTTTCGCTCCCGGATTTCCGACAGCTAGATGAAAAGCTGATATTCCCAGTCATCAAAATCGTCATCAGGGTGAAACAAGGAGGCTATCATGGCGCGACTCGAGTACCAGAACAACCAACCGCCGCAGAAGGCTGCAATTTGAGTTGCGGAGGTGTACTAGGGTTTTCGAACATGATGTTCTCCCTGCGACGCAACATTGCACGCTGCATATCGCTGCATTAGCGATGTAACCTCACATGGTGACGAAACGCACGTAACCATTTGATCAGGCTCGGTGAACCGAGCAACAGGTGTGCAGTGATTACTCATGGATATACAAACAGGCTAGGGAAACTAAACTACAGCATAAAAACAAAACCAAAAAACGTTAGAAAGAAATTCGAACTCAGTAAACTGGATGCGAAGTTAGATGGATCGGCCAGTGGCCGATTGGAATGGGACGTCGATTCGGTTTAGATGGCTTCTCAGTATACCTGACCTAGGTGACTGGCGATGATCGCATGGCAAGTAAGCATCGGAACGGTATACTGCTGATGGCTTTTTCTCTTAATGCTTTATAAAACAATCAAACTCAGGTAGAAACTCCTAAACAAATTTCGAGCTTGACTCTCGACAAGTTGAAAATACCGAGGCTGTCGCTTGCAGTTCAAACTGGTAGCAAAACTGCCATATGCGAGAAAGGCGAGAAGCAGAGAGGTACTGTCAACCGGATGACAGATGCAGACGATAATTCTCGACTGTCAATCCTCAAGATGATGTTGTTTAGAGAAACTCCACCCACAGTCGATGGCCCAAGCACTTGACCCAAAAGGCAGGGATAAGGTTGTTTAGGGAAATCTATTCAGAACTTTCGGTCCAACAAACAGAGCGAAAAGGCAACGGGAAGTAAAGGCATGACCGTGAAAAAACTCTTGGAGTCTAGTCACACGTAATCGCAGTAAAGCCGAACAGGCCGCGGTTACTACCACTGTCAGATTATACATATGGAGCCACAATCAATTACAAGAGCACTGTCGAGAGTATGCGTGTTTTAGCAGTTAGGGACCATCCAATTTGAGGAGTTTGGTAGGATACCATTAAACAAAGACGCGCATTTCCCTCGGCAGACGCAAGCTGCGCAACAGGTGTGGTAAGCAATCGAGCTATGTTCAACATCAAAAGTGAAGGATAGGGAAGCTTAGCCTATATAACCTCCGACATTTGATTTGCTTGTGACTAGCGCTGGGAGCACCCTGAAAGTGAAAAGCAGAGCGGCCCGAGCTACTGTCCACGGTGAAGGTGATGTGTTGTCCAACTACTGGTTAACAAATCATGTGAGTTAACGGCACCCGCTATGGTCCATGAATAACAACTTCAGTATGGTAAATGTGGGGGCAGGAGTTCCGCTCACGTCGGATTGGGCAAAGTGCATCTCGAATAAAAAGCTGGAAACGCGGAAGCGCCGTTAAAGGCTTTGGGAGACAAGTTGTGTAGGAAAATCTGCAAGAACGATTATTAGCACCCATTATTAAAATAAGCAAAACCATCAAATCGTAGTAGTCGGGGTGCTAAGTCAGACGTCATGTGGATCTGGGCACAATTTGGAGTGGCCACAAGAGACTGGATCCCGTCCGACCACAGTGGTAACGAAGTGTCTGATACGCATGCGGGAAACTGTTCGCAGTTGGTGAAGTTGTAGTAACACTTTGTTTCTAAGATAATCCGAGCCGGACTGATGCTAATACGGAAACAGTAACGAATGATTATAGGAGAAGGAAAGTTGAGGGAAAGCACTTTTCCAATCGGTGGCTGTGAAAGCAACCGCCAGATATACGCTGGGGCTTCCGGATGTGTGCACGGTCAGAAGCCAATGAGTTGCAAATTTCATCATTGTCAGCACACGTTGGCTGCAGGTGAGAAACTCTTCAGTTATTGTGACGTAATGCAAAATATATCATATATGGAAAAAAGCGAGATACAAAACACTGTGCAATACAAAAATAGAAATCCAAAAAGCAAGTAATATAATCCTTAGTATCATGATATGCTTCGACAGTAAGAGTGATTGGAAGAGAGAATGAGGGACGATGAAAAGCTCACAAAACGCCAGCTCCACCCCATGTCGACTAATGTATCTAACCAAACGTGTTCATCATATTACGGATCACAGCGTGGCAGTCAGGAAACACCAACCGACGCCAATTTCGAAGTGAGGGACTTCATTCCTCTTGACCAAGTCATCGCTTGGTCTCCCCTCCTCTTCTAACCGCATTCACGGCGCGCAAACAATGCACGTCGCAGGAGTCAGTGGGCTGGCATGCGCAACACGACTCAGCAATCAGAGCCTTGTGCACGATACAACGGCGTTGAGCGGTTCATTCGTCCTCGCTGCACCAAATACGAGACGACGAACACGATCATTGCTCAAGCGGTGTTCCCACCAGACATGAATTAAAGTGCGAAGGCAGCTATTTTCGAACATAATAATCCGCTTTAGATCTGTCGATTTGGTGGGCCACGTTTCACAACCATACGTTGCAAACACTGCGCTTCAGAGCGAGAGTGATGTCACGCCGATGCCATAGGTGGTGGAGATTGACAGAAGTGCTATGAGCTTGTAAAGTTGGATTTGCAGAACCCGCTGTGTGGTTAGATTGAGACACGTAACCTCTATTGAGGTTGACCTCTGTCATTCCGATCGCAAAGACAGTATGTGAAAAGGAAGCATTTCAGCTATGTTCCTCCCAACACACCATGACCGACGGTTTCGTTCTGGTTTGGACCCATTAGGTGGAGTGGAACTCGGGTGACACTTTGATCACTGTGACACTGAGATCCGCGACTTGGTCTTCTATACCACATGTGCCAATACAGCTGTTTAGATACTTAAGTTTCTGGACGGCTTCTAGCTTTGGTAGGTCACTGCCAACCTTGAATATGGTGCAATTCATAGCCCGAAAGGATTGGCAATCAGTGCTACTTTGTCCAGTACTGTTTGGTACGTTTGGGAGTTATTACAGAAGCAGGTGATGAAATTCCTGACACTACCGGAAAATCGATGGAACAAAGGTAAAGGCAACTGAAACTAACTCGGGACGCCACATAGCTGCCGCTCCCACAAAACTTTGGTTGAGTAGATCAGAGGAAGAAAAGAACAGGAAGGAAAGTGGTGGAGTCGAATCGAAATCTCCAGTACACAATGGAAACGCCTTGGTCTACCAAACGGTGCTTCGGCGTAGTTCAGTTAAAGTCCATACACAAATCGCTCTAATCCCAGTAAGACAGCGTATGACTGACCTGAAGCAGAGCCCAACAAGAAGCAGACTACTAAGTTAAACGATTGAGGCAGGTGCCATTGGAAAAAATCTTCCGAGTGTGTAGTTGGTGAAAATCACCGGTCGAGAAAACTCCAACGCCAGTTCCCTCTGTGTTACAGCATTTTTCATCTTTCTTAATTTCTAATTTGTTACGAAATCACGTGGGTACACACGAGTGACAAGTGTACTAGGGTCGCGCGGTTTTGGGAAAACGCGCATCCCAATAACGCGGCTCCTTTAAGTTTGAGCATGAGGCTTTTGGTGCGGGTTGGATTGTAGCGTGTTGGTCTTTAAGCGGATACCTACTGTGTGGTGGAGAATACAAACCCCAGTTGAATGACGCGTGCGTTTTCGGGATCAGGACTACGGTCAACAGTAGGAAAACATAACATCATTCTCACTCAAAGGGAAAACCAAAGCTCTAGATATGTCGAAACATCATGATCAGGTGTTCGCAAAGTTTATCTAGGGGATAACCAGAAACTGACCGAGGAGTGTCAACTTGAAATGCGACTGAGCGATGGTCCATAACATATCCGCACATGGTGTGATCCAAGAAGTGATAAAACCCTAGCCGAAACTTTTAGTGCGCCCTGCTCAACTCAACAGAACAAAGTCCCTACCACTGTGCCTACCAAGGCCGCCACTGATGCCAGTGATGAGACCGAGTGAAGCAGCGTATTGGCTACTGCAAACTACTGTCAACTGAGATGGGTAAACTTACACAGACCATACTCTCGGTTCAAAAAGGTTCCGAAACAGACCAAAGCTCAAAAGGTATACCGTTAGTAGCTCTATGAACCAGATGATGACGTTCCAAGTAAGTGCTACTTAAAACAGAAAGATTGACAACATCTTAATCAAAGGTCAAAGCTGGACGCTAACGTGAACTTGACGATCAACTTCTCT